GTGGTTTATTGGAGATAAGTCTCATGGACTTTCCTGCCCCGTCTGTCTTTGAACCGTTGATCCTCATATCTCAGCTTCCTGACTAGCTATGATTACAGGCATGGGCCACCAGCACCTGGCTGTTAAAATTGTCTTTAAGTAGCTGTACAAATGGGTTTCAATTCAATGTCAGTTTATGAGTACAATGCATCTTAATCAATAAAGAAGCAAATTTGCAGTAGCAGCCTGAGCCAGATTAAGCTCCTGGGAACTTTCCTTTTCTTCACCTCTCCCCAGACTACAGATGCAAGGCTCCTGTGATGGAAAGAGAATGGGGAAAAGGATTTTTGGCCAGTCCTGGGGCTTGAACTCAGGACCTGGACACTGTCCCTGAGGTTCTTTTGCTCAAGGCTAGCACTCTACCACTTGAGTCACAGCAGCACTTAAAGCGTTTTGTGTTTATGTGGGACTGAGGAATCAAACCCAGGGCTTCATGCTTGGTAGGCATGCACTCTACCACTGAGCCACCTTCCCAGCCAGAAAAAGATTTGTGAAAGCACTTTCATAATACCTTGGTCAAGCTTGAGTCCTCCAGCGTGTACACGAAGCCCCACTGATTCTACCCTACTTGGGAGATCCCCTTGTAAACCTTCTAGTCCAAGAGATTAACTTTTTTGTGGTGCTATTTGGGGTGGAATCCATGGGTTAATTAGGACTAGGGAGCCCAGGAAATTCATCCACATTTGTTGGCTTTTTTTCCCCTGACCTAGAGTTGAGCATGGATTCTATATTGCAAGATTCCAAATTGCAAGAATTGTGCTGAAGCTGCTGGCCTTCTGATCATACTTTCAGTAAGCAATATATAAACCAGATTTCCTAAACTATGCATCACTGTCTCCTCTTTAAGGATTAATAAGAAATTCTTTAATTCGTGTCTAATACTGAGACAAGGCTCTGTGTGGAGGTCTTAGTGTTTGTAAGAAGCCCACCAACCATCGTGATGGTCAGCCAGATGGTCAGTGAGGTCAATGATCAGAGAAGGTAAATAGGTATTTTTAAATTTTACTTTATTATAAAGGTGTATACAGAAGGCTTACTATTACACAAGTCAAGTAATGAGTACATTTCTTTTTGTGCAATATCTTCTATTTACTCACTCTCTCCACCCATGAGTTATATAGTTCATTTTCATCAGTATTCAGTGAGCTCCACTGCTGCACTTTTTCACCTTTTCCCGAGTTATGTATCCTCCGCCACCCTCCTAAAGATATATACACAATACACCATAAAGACAGAATCATCAAAAGTAATTTTTTAAAAAATGTTTCCATATCTCAGAGTTCATTTCAATAAATATTTTATGTAAATATGAAGAGGCACTTAGGGATTGCATCTTTGTGTTTCTCTCCTAAGAGTGTCCTCTTCTGGTCTCACTGTGTGTGTCTAGAATCCTGCATAATTTATCTTATCCCAGTGTGTTTTAGATCTAATTTCCTCATATTGGCAAGAACATGTGCCATTTGTGTCTATGAGCTTAGCTTACCTCACTTAGCGTGGTTTGTTAGAGTTTCATCCATTTCCCTCCAAATGACATAATTTTATTCTTTCTAATGTCTGTGTAAAATTTCATTGTGTATAGGTACCACATTTTTTAAATCTACTTATCTACTGTGGGACATCTGGGCTGTTTCCCTATCTCGGCTACTGTGACTAGTGCAACAATAAACATGGATATGCAGGTATCTTATCATATCCTGGCTCATGATGTTCAGGGCAGATACCCAGGAGTCTATATTTAGTTTTTTGAGGCACCTCCAGACTGCTGTTGAGAATGGTTGTACTAGTTTACATTTCTACCAACAGTGCAGTAGGGTGGTAAGGCGGGATCTTAAATCCACCTTTAAATCTATTTTTCTCACAAGTGCAAACCAAGATGTTTACTTTATAAGCCAATACTAATTAGTAATAGCTTATGGAACATAATTTAATGAAAAGGCCTACAGCTACACTTGATTCAATAGGAGTAAATGTAATATAGCAATTTTATGAGATTGAAGTCTCAGCATCAATATAAAGTTTTTTTTTTCTTTTGTGCCAATCCTGATGCTTGAACTCAGAGCTAGGATGCTGTCCCTGAACTTTCTGCTCAAGGCTAGCACTCTACCACTTAAGTCACAATTACAATTCTGGCTTGATAGTTAATTGGAGATTAAAAAGTCTCAAGAACTTTCCGGCCCCAGTGGGCTTTGAACTATGAGATACTCAGACCGCAGCTTTCTGAGTAGCTAGGGTTACAGGAGTGAGCCAGACATTTAGCTGCTGCTTTTTTTTTTTTTTTTTTTTTTTTTTGGTCGGTTGTGGGGATTGAACTCTGGGCCTGGGCACTACACCTCAGCTCTTCAGCTCGAAGCTAGAGCTCTATCACTTCAGCCATAGCACCACTTCCAGTTTTCTGTTTTTTTGTTTTTTGGGTCCGGTCATGGGGCCTGAACTCTGGGCCTGGGCGCTGTCCCTCAGCTCTTCAGCTCAAGGCTTGAGCTCTACCATTTGAACCACAGCGCCACTTCCGGCTTTTTTCTTTTTGCTTTATGTGGTGCTTAGGAATCTAACCAAGGGCCTCTGGCATGCAAAGCATGCGCTCTACCACTGAGCCACCTTCCCAGCCCCCCACCCCACACTTCCAGTTTTCTGATGGTTAATTGGAGATAAGAGTCTCACAGACTTTCCTGTCTGGGCTGGCTTTGAACCGCGATCCTCAGATCTCAGCCTCCTGAGTAGCTAGGATTACAGGCCTGAGGCACTGGTGCCCTGCCAGATAATTCTTGATATGCCCTCCGAAATGTACTTCTAGCTGGTTATTTCCTTAAAGCACATACCCAAACAGACACAAAGCCAGGAAAAAAGAAAAAAAAAGAGTGCTTAACATTATGCTACAAACTAATAAATCAAAACCTCAAAACCATCATTACTCTCTGAGGGCCAAGCTTAGAAGTTGACAGTCTAGTTAGTGGCTTTCAAACTATAGCATTGTTTCTGAACCATAACAAATGGTATTAACAAAATCCCTAAAGGTCAAATAGTAATGATAAGGAAGAAAACGTTAATGGATTTTTCTCGTTTCATCTTGTTAGCAACAGTAAGGAAAGCAAAAGGCAAAGGAGTAAGGAAATTAAAAAAAATCAACACAAGCAATTGGAATACGTTGTCCTAAATCTTTATACCCTGGCCACGACATTTTCTCTAAAAAATAGTTTGGGCTCTCAGGGTGAGAGATTTACAGAGAGTATGTAAACAGAACTGACAAAACAAGGAACAAGTCAAACCACTTCCTGTCCAGAGAGGATAAAGTTGACTACTCCCTTCAAACGCTGTAAGACAAATGCTGGGCGTGACAGGGCCCTGGCAGGGCTACCTTTGCTCCTGCGCAGTGTCTCGTCCCTCCGAACGCTAACTCCCAAGCCCCAGCACTTTCCCTCGCCTGCATCCTCCAAAATCACACCTGCAATGCTTTACTGCAACGAGAAGCCGGAGTAGGTAAGCCATAGCCCCCATCCCCTAACAAGCATCATCTGCTTTGGAGGAAAACAAGGCACAAACCCGAGTGGGAAGAACAAGGCTGCAACCCGCGTCCGATCGCTGCGGCCAAGTGCGGCCAACGGGCTCGCGCGCCGTACCGCCTTGTTCTCCCGCCGGCAGAGGGGGATCGTTTCGACCCAGGCGGATGACCAGGGGGACCGGAGGGGCAGCCCTGGGAACCTCACCCAGGGCAGAACTCCTCCAGTCCCGAGAGCATTCACAGGCCCGACCTCAGCCGGTCGGAAGTGACGTATCCGCGGAGATCCGCGGGGCCGCCACGTAATAGGCCTTCGCCTCAAGTCGCCGTTCTCCACCCGGATCGACCCCAAAACCGGGGAAGTGAGGCCGACAGACCCACCATCCACCCTCACCCGGCAACCAGCGACTCCCAGGCCCCACCGGGGAACCCGGCAACACCTATCCGGAACTCGAACCCGCAACCTGGACGGTGCAGCCGCGTCGGCCTGCGCGCCCGAGTGGCGGCGCCCAGCGAGCCATGGGCTTCGGCGCTCCTCCACGCGCATGCGCGGCCCTCGGTCTCGGGAGGAC